GGGCTGGAGGGAGAAACCTTGCTTTTGATCAAGGAGCTCTGAAAAGCAGTAAAATATATCAAATGCTTTTCCGATAACTGCCTGGAATGTTTTACCAGTAAAATTCGAGGAGCTGAAATTTGGAAGCGGAAGAGGGGGTAGTGTTAAAGAAGGGACAATGTCCAAAGTGAAAGGAGTGTGAATGTTCCGTGGTCTCCGGCACTGCTGTCACCGCAGATGCTCAGCCCCGCAGCCCCAGCCCATCACCGGCTCCATCTGACTGGGACACTGTGTTCCTGAGGGAACGGGTGGGGAACCGTGAGGCTGTGGCTGCACTAAAACATTAGCTGTAGAGTCGCTTCTCTAACCTGTCCCCATCCATTTATTTGCCAAGTCTTCGTGAATAACAGACTCTAATTTCTGTATAAATGCGTTTTATCATGAATCACCAAGCAAGCGTGTTTCATTTAAGCAGTTACAAGAGGACAATATCTAACTCGCTTGCAATATGAAACCTGAAAGAGCTGAAGGCTCCTGAGAGCCGAGGTTGGTTGCTTTTGCTTTCAGGCTGGCCAGCAGACCGCAGTGGATCCAGTTACTAGGGGTGTAGAGCTCTCCGAAGTTGCCTGCTTGGAGAGAGGTAACTGCTGTGGCTCTGCATGCAGACACGTGAGTAAGAAATCTTGCCTTTCGGCATCAGTTTGTGTGCTGTCTCCGTGACTTAGTAAAATTAAAATCATTTATGCTGGAATAGTAAGAGTTGGCAAACATCTTACGTGTTTTGCCATGACTTTGAATGAGTCAAGGACGTTTTAAGTCCTGGGAAGGTCGTTGATGCATTTTCTTAGTTAAAATATTGCAGCATTTGCCATTACTGTTATCTCTTGGAAATAGCATGAAGAGCACTGCACAGCAGCTATTTAATTGAGTGTCGTTTTATAGAAGTTCTATTTCTTTTGGCAACTCCGTCACGTTTAGGAAGAGGACCCATGCCAGAAAGTCTCTTTCCAGACAGCTTTCATTAAAAATCAAAACAAAACAGAACAAAACAAGACCCATCAAAGCAAAAAGGTGATGCAACCAAGGGAACAAGATGGGGTTTGTGTCCAAGGTAGTTTAGCTTTTCAGCACTGTGTTTAAAACTTTACGAAATACGTTTTGTAGTGAGATACAGAAGTGACAGAAGATGCGAGACTCGGTGGAAGAGTTTATGATTTTCATGAAGCAACAGGATCTGGTACTCCAGTTAATGCGAAATAACAGTTTGTATTTTGTACATCCAAGAAAGAGTTCTCCCGTGGGAGCAAACAGCATGAGTTGTGTTGCTTTCAGTGGAGACAAGATCAAGGCCACAATAACCCACTGGCCAAGCTCTGTTACTCTTCCAGAGTGTGCCTGAATCTTCACGTGGGTACCACAACAAATGTGTATGTATGGGTATACCCACGGTGCATTTAACTTCCAGATCACACTTGAAAGCGGTGGAA